ACAGCGAGAGTTTGGGTTCTGGGGGTGTTTGGACTCAGACATTTAAATGGCAACGATTTGAAACAATCAGCAGCCAGTTTCTGGTTTGCTGGTCTCAGGATCGCTGATGATGTGGTCCTTCTGGCTTCATCGGTCTGTAGCTTCCAGCTGTAATTGCAGTTACCACCTCCACGTCTGAGCTCATAGTTCTTAGCCAGAAAAGGGTCGAGGGTACACTCCAAAATCCTGCCCCAGGAGGAGTTTGAGTATCTCAGGAACTTGTTTGGCGCTGGTGGGAAGAAAAAGGCAGAAGCAGCAGAAATGTGCCTCTTCTCTAGCGTCTCTGGGCAGGTCTGTTATTTAAGAGAAGGTCTGAGCAGGAAGCCTCCTGGATGCTTCCTAGGTGAGGTCTATCGGGCATTTCTGATTGGAAGGAGAAAAAGGAAATGCTGGTGGTTATGTTTCTGGACTCGCTCGGGAATACCGCAGCGTCTCCCCCAGAAGAGCTGCAGGTGGTGAATGGAGAAGAGAGACTGAGCATCTCTGCTTAGACTGCGACCCTGTGACCCAGACCTGGATGGGTTGCTTGATTGATCCTTGGAAATGTTTCAAAGCTGAGGTATCCTGATGGCAAAAGAGCCGTCAGCTTTAGACGAAGGATCTACCAGCGCCACACCGAGCTAACATCTGTAGATCCAGATGAGCTTCATAAGTATAGAGCCAGGATCGGGGTGATGAATGCCAGCAGGTAAAGATATGACCATGAATGTGTAAATGAGGTGCGTCTGCTCTCAGGAAACGTTGAGACTTTTGCAAAGTGAGTGAGATACTCCTGTTCAGTGGAGCGAAAGCTGACATCACCTGTACCTACAGCCAGCTCACATCTGCACGCTGTTAATCTGATTTATCAGAGGGAAGGTGAAGAAACAGCGGTGAGATCCATCATGTGCTACAATCTCAGCTTATTGATCCTGGCAAACTTGTGAAGTCATAACTAATCTGCTGGTTTATCCGTCTCTGTGCTGCTTTTCCCACCTGCTTAAGTTCTCTCACATAAATATGGCGTCTGCTTCCTGCACGCCTCCACCGCTCAGTTATCGAAGGCGCTCTCGTAGCGCTGTGCAGATCAGATACACGAGGATTTGAATTCAGCACAAACTCCAGACGACTGTGGACAGAAACGAGAATCCTTTGAGGACAAATCAAAACAGCCATTTTTAAGTCGTTTCAAAGAGACCTGCAGCGTGCGCTCCTCGGACCCGGAAGCTACGCTCGTCTTTCATGCGCAGATGAGACGGCGAGCTAAAACGCACAGTAACGTGTTTTTCAAACGTCGCTGAACCCCGCCTCCCGATGCGAGAAACTGTTTGTGTTGATCATCAGCGTTTCCTCCGTCTTTGAGCTGCAGCGTGAAAGTCCACAACTTTTTAAGTCCAATGTGCTTCTGTTGTTTCTCATTGAAGCGCACAGATCAGAGCAGACGGGCGCGCGCGGCGAGCGCGATGACCTCGTCTGCAGAGCAGCTCCTGCTTTTGTTCTGCTCGTTCTCCAACACCCTCGCTGCTTTTGTGCTCTCACCTCCAACATGCCATCAATTATACAACAAAGACGCAGCTTTATCATTGTTAAGCAGGTGGTGCACGCAGCGGTGAAGTTATCCAGGCTTGGATAACG